TCCCCCAGTTTGCTGGGAAATAAACAAAATACAAGGGAAAAAGCAGCAGCAGATAAGAGAGAGAACAAAGTAGAGAGGGGTTTCAGCTCTGACAACTACCTCAGCTGCTGCTGTAATCCTCAGTGAGAATATAATACTTTGGTCAAGGACCTATGACAGTCACCGAACACAGCCAGTTCCAGGGATCCCTCAGGGCAGGTGCTGAGGGTGCCACAGTGCAGGCCCTCCCAGCAGAAACACTGCAGACATTCGTTTAAACTCGCATGAAGAACTTAACCCAAAACCCAACACTTTGATGAGGGAGAAGGGGGAGCTGCCTTTGGTGTATGACTGGGAACAGAGCACCAGATGAAATGGGTAGAAAAAAGTTCATTTCAGGTTTCCATATCCATTTATAGAAAGCCACATTGCTATTTGGTCAGCACACCCTCCCACAATGAGCTACATCCAGGATCTTGGAGAGCTGGCCACGTTGCACTCCTTGTGATCCAAATGCTCTGATCCACCCTGCCCTTCCATACAGAGGGAGAAAGGAGGCAGGGCTGAAGGATGTCAACCATTAACTACTGCCAATACAAGCTCCTCTCTGTTCCTTGCTAAAATCTTCTCTATTCTAACAGTTAAAACTCAGAGATACAGGGCCAAGCTATGGAGGGCAGTGAGGCAGATCACCACCTGCCTGTATTTCTAACAGGGATCAAATCTCATCTGCAGAGATGGGGAGCCTTCAGCAGATACAGAACAGCCAAAGAGATCTAGAAGTCCACTTGAGACCGGAAGGCAGGAATTCCATAGGACATGCTCCATTTCCACAATGCTTCTTAGACTTTCAGATACTCCCCTCCCTGAAGGACAAAAGGTACAGAAAAGAGTTATCAGGGAGGCATCAGACAAGCACATGCTCAGCAAAAACAGCACTGCAGACTCACCAGCACAAAACCAGTGGCCATTCACATGTTGCAGACCAATTACACAGGAAAACCCACCCCACCCATGACCCCAGGCAGACTCTTTCCCCCAGTTCAGAATAAAAGGAAAGGACCTACCAGAAGTGAAAAAGAGAGCATCTCCCTGAATTTCATTCACACCTTATCATCCAGTTTGTCCACTTCAAAAGCCACCACCTAATCACTGCTAGACTGGCATTCCCAGCAGGCTGCAAATATCACCTAAAAGCTCTGCCTCAGGTAGTTTCTGTTACTGGAAGCCCTAAATCTCTGAAGTCACACAGCAGTTGCATCAGAACAGGGACAGACCTGAGGATCAATAAGGTGCTATGTCATTTTTCCCCAGAGGTAGAGCTTACGAGGCTGAAGTTTTCTTTCCTCCCAAACCACATCACCACCTTCTATCAACCCCTGCTAAAAAAAAACAAAACTAGGGCAAAATCACTGCAAAAATATCATTTAACACCCCCACATCTTTATTCCCACCAGCTGTTTGTTTCTCTTTGTCAAAACAGCAAGAACCAGGAACAAGATCTCTCTCAATCAAAAAATCCCCCAATACTGGTGGTAAAGCAATACAAAGTCAAACCCAAAAATGTTCTTTCTTTGTCTGTGTGCATCACAGTATACACTTCTCTGCATGCTGCCCATGTCCCTTGCCCATCAAGTGACAACATGGAGATAAACTAGTAAGAGAGAGATGTGCCTAAAATCCAGGCACAGCAGTCCAGCATGCACTATGGCAGCTGAAGAAGAGAGCTGGTACCTGACCACCAGACTCCAGCTTAGAAATTTCAAAAAGCCATGAGAATTTAACTCAGTATCTAGCTATCCCCACCACCATGTTAGTTCTGTCATGCCACAGCACCATGTGTGTCCTCATCGCCAAAAGACAGAAGAGCAAATGTGCTAAAGGCAGGAGCAAGACCTGCTGCTCCAACAAGCACATACAACCAAATGCTATTATCTCAGGAAAGCATTTCTTCCCACTGTGGTCCTGTCACCAGAGAGAACGAGAGACAGTCTCTCTCCAGCGTAGATGTCAGAAGTCTGTTCAGACCTCTCAGGCTGGTCTGAAGCAGGAACTGGAACCAGCTGATGAATCAATACACCCAAATGGAGGCAGCATTACACAAACAGCTCTCCCCTACCCACCTCTTGCATGGGGGGCTTCATGTAGACATCCAGCACCGAGCTCTTCCACAAGTAACACTGCTGACGTAGCAGGCACACTACTACTGATGGATGTATTTCAGAAGCATGTCAGACAAATTCCTCCCAATATTCAAACAAGTCTGAAGGGCATTAGTGAACTCTCTGTAACTCTTCTGCTTATTTACCCCAGAAATTAAGCCTGAGCAGGAGTCCCCACATAGATTTTTCCTAGTCTTTGAGGCAATGAAAGGTAATATTTTAATAATACTAATATTTTAATGCCAAAGCATCCAACATGCAAACTCCATTCTATACTTACCCTTACATGAACTTGCAGGAACAAGGAAAAATAATAGAAAAACATCTATGTATCTTCTTGTTAGAACGCAGAAAAGTAAAATACCAAGAAAATCAGCAGTGGGTAAACAAGTGAATGTGATCACCTCCTCCAAAAGGGTTCTAGAAGCTCTCCAGCATGTATTCAAGCGTGCTTAATCTAACCGTTTTTTACACTTCAGATACCACGGCCAACACACGGCCAGAAACAAGTGAGGTGATTCTAATACCCTACTAGGGATTGTTTGTTTTTTTAAAAGATATTTAACACCTGATCTGATTGATTCAATGATTTACTGTTCAGGGCCAACTCTGAACCTAAAGATTACCATCACTCAGCAAGCAGCATCCTGAGGAGACATGGCCTTGGCAGACCCAGACGAGCCAGCAGGCAGGGCTGTCCTCAGCACAGTGCTGCTGTCAGGACAGCACTGCTGAAGCGCAGCCTAAGGCCAAGAGGGCAGAAGCAGAAAAAGGGCAGGTATAGCAAATAAAGAAGCAGTGACACTGCCCCACTTCTTCATGTAGTCACTTGCAATTCTTGATGGAGAGGGACAACAATGCTTGGTATTCAGTAACAATAATAATAATTAAAATAAGTGACATGGCAAGGAAAGGAAAACCATGTAGTTGTAGAGGAATGAGCATACTTGCCATACTATCATACTGCAATTACAAAACCGCTCTATTATACCCTTTGCCAACACTCCCTAACACACAGTCTTTAACTGCAGTCAGGAAAACTGGATGCCTCTATTTCTAACCCCTGCCCAACATCACCAGTAGACAAAATAGATACTTTTCATTCACCCTGATTCTGCACCACAAAACCCTTGACTACGGGAATTAATAGGTCTTTCCTACGGAGTATGCTCTGCCTTTAGCCACTGCTATTTCTGACTTCTCTAATTCTCTATGAGAAAAGTCTGAACTTACAAAGAAAAGACTATGTACTGAACTGAAGTCTCATGGTCATGTCAGTTCAACTGCCAGAGCAGTGCGGAGCACCGAAAGTGTAGCCAAAGTTTGCTTTTCACAACCGTTATATTAAGCTGCTTTTTTTAGGATGATGAGGATTCCACAGAGGCATATAGTACAGGCTGACAGCTTCATTGTTTACATTTCTTATGTGCACTGTTGAGTAACTCCACCTGAATAATTTTTAAAAGTCTGACAGCAAAACTCTGAGTTACTTATTTGCTAATGCCAAGTTAGATACTTTCCACTCTAAAGATTAATTTAAAAACATATAAAACCCAGCCCACTAGAATGACTGATAAGAGCAAAAAGGAAAGCTTAGATGCTCTCGGAGAAAGAAAAATATGTTTCCTCTTTTCAAAATGTAAGCAATCTCCTTAATTCCCTAGTGCTGTTCTGCAAATTTCAATTCTTCAAATACCATCTCCAAGCATTCTCCTCTTTTTGCCTCAGCAGTACTTAAATAAATACAGAAACGCAGGAAGAAGCCTGCATTAGAAGCTACCAGAATTGCAAACCATTCAAATCTGAATGGCAGCCGCTCACAGGCTGAATGGTCCAGAGTGGTGCACAGTCACATGTAGGGGAGTACACTGGGTGTCAAAGCAAGGGGAACAGGTCCAGGCTATCAGCTAATGCCAGGTTCTGCTTCCCTCTTCCTGTCAGGGCTGCAGAGCCACATTCATTCTACTTATGCCCCATTGCATCAGTATTGGCCTATCTGCTTCGTTCAACTGGTATGAGCGGGTGTTCCAGTGCAAGGGTCAAGAAGCTGTTTTCCTGATCCTTTCAAAGCTGTGTAAAACTGTATCTCCTCTGAGCTCCAGCTGGCTACAAGAAAAGACAGTCACAGTTTGAGCAAGTGTGGGTCTTGGGCCTCCCTGACCTACACTGATGCAAGAGTGCTTGGGGAACTGATCTCACACTAGCCTGATGGAACTTTTATTTTTTTCAAAGCAACTGCTTTGAAAAAGCAGTGGAAACTCTGTATCTACTTTTAAGAGGTATGAAAGTGCTAAAGTCCTTTTCCTCCAGGGCTCAGTGACAAGTACTGTTTTCAGCAGACAGATAATCTCCTTTGTCCCATCCAGCTGTCACCAGGAAGAGGATATTGCAGTGTCAAGTCCAGAGGCAACTGCAGATCCGAGGCTTGAAGGACACTGCCTAAAGCATGTTTCTCAACACTGTGCGTTTCCCTCCAGCCTATCCATGGTTTTACTAAATCACAACCCTGGACTGGTGACTCATAGACACAGGAAGAGGAGGGCACTGGAGAAGACCCTGAGTCAAACATCTCTCAAATCCAGAATCATATCCAACCCCCACGCTGCCCTGAACTTTGTAGACTTAGGTCCCACTTGCCTCTGTCGTCACCATCAAGCCCACAGTGGTGTCCTTCCAGGTATCAGCTGTATTTCCCGGCGGGAATTTCCTGTAAGTGCCTCTTATCTCTGCTGCTGCCCTCCTGACCCTGTGCATCTCTTCGCGCTCCCTGGTCCTCCCCCTTCGCACTCCCAGTCTCCCAACAGGTGGCTGACAGCCGGCCCCACGTGCCTGGCCAGCCGGGGAGCAGATGCTCATTACCTGATTCCCGAAGACCGCAATGGAGCAGGCGGTGGAGACTTCGTGGGAGCCAAACCAGACAGAGGCGATGCGCGAGGGCATGCCCAGGATGAAGACCTGGGCCAGGGCACAGATGACCTGCCCCAGGACGGTGACGGGGAAGAGGTGCGGCTTCATGCTGCCCAGCTTCACCCAGGCGCCCACGGCATTGAGGGCTGAGCCAGCCAGCGCGATGAGGCGCAGTCCCCTCTTGTCCAGCAGCCAAGCGACAGGGAAGAGCAGGGGGATGTAGGCGAGCATGTAGCTCATGGAGAGCCAGTCGATGGCGAAGGCGCTCACGTCGTAGAAGCGCACGAAGACGTTGTTGATGCTGCCGTACTGGATCCACTGGAAGGCATTGCACAGGGAGTAGCTGCTGAAGAGCAGCAGCACTGCCCAGCGACGCCGGGACAGCTGCACCTCGGCGGGGGCAGCAGCAGCGGTCCCCCCCGCCGCAGCCGACTGACTCGGCGCCCCGGCCGGCTCTTGCAACACCATGCCGGCACCGCAGGCCGCGCTCGGCTCGGGTCCCCGCCGGCACTGCCTGCCCCGGCCACCACCGCCGGGCTCTCTGGCGTCCGCCGCACCGGGAGGCGACACCGCCCCCGCCCGGCCCGGCCCGGCCCGGCCCTCCCCGCCCGCCGCCCCGCCCCGCCCCGCCCCGCCCTGCCGCGGGGCCGGGAAGGGCCCGGGCCCGCTGGGAGGGCATGGACAGGCCCTTGGGCACTGCCCAGCCTCGCCGAGCGGCCGCTCTGGCGTTACAGGGCCCCGTGGCAGAGAGGCTGCAGCCGGCAGCGATGAACGGGCTGACCAGAACTGTGCCCTGGGGGAGGCTGTGCCCGACCCCGCCAGAGATGCCAGGGTGGAGTCCTGGGGGAGGAACCGGTTTGGGTTTCGTTTGGGTTGGCTTCTGGTTGTTTTTTTGGTGCCATGGCACGCTAGAGAGTGAAAACGTCCAGTGAAGTGAAAATTAAAACATCTCAACGCAACTGAAGCAAAAGAGCCAAAAAAACTGAAGCAAAAGAGCCAAAAGTGATGTTTGTTTCCATCCTCACGGGGAACTCGCAATTAATGAGTCAGCCCTTGTTTTCCCATTACTTTAGCAACACGCCACTGGCAGATGCCTGCCTGGAGATCACTTATGATCTACAGTTCATTTAATTAACATCATGTTACCTGAATTGCATAAACATTCCTCAGCGCAAGGACACAAGGTTGCCAGTGTTGTTTCAGCTCTCTTACAGCATTTAATAGACAGATTAAAATTAATTTGGAAAAATTGGGGGCAGCGTCTTTAGGATATTGTATTCCTGAAAGAAAGACTTGAGTCAGAGAATGAAAAAGTTAAGTTTTTCTGGCTTGTATTTACTTTGTAGCTACATTATAATGTTGTCCTTTTACATACTTTGTGGAACTTGTGGGATGCCCTTCACAGTGGTACAACATTGTCATAATGTAGCCCTTTCATATAATAAATAAGAAAGACAAATTCAGAAGCCAAACTCAGAAAAGAGGTTTTCAGTCCCATTTATTATTAAGTTAGGCAACCAAAGTTACTCTAAGCTCTGCACAGAGATAACAGAAAGAACAGAGTAATTTGTTTTAATAAATTTGTAATTTTAATAGTATCAGGAATGCAACAAGTGATAGTGGTGCAGAGAGGGCAGAGGTGAAAAAAGAAAGCTGGAAAAAGACTATCATGGTCCAACAGCTGCTTAATCTGAGAACTGTGAGGTTATAACAGTAAAATAATACATAATATTAACTTTTAGGTTCATCAGATTTGAAAAGGCCTTTATAAAATTCTCAGCAATATTATACAGAAATCGAACTTACACAGAGATAATCACTATCATTTATTAAAGAGCAGTTGAAAAGCAGAGGTAAGTAAAGAAATATGTGGGCAATTTTTAGGATGGCAAACTGGGTTTGCTCAGAGGACTATCATTTTAATAAATGATAGTTCCTTAAGCAGAGCAAAGAACAAAATTTGCTGATTTTGTAGACATTATTGAGTTACTAAAGCCTAACTTAAATATGTCATCTCAATGTCGTATTTAGTTCTGTAGCTCTAGCTATCTGTAGCTGGAAGTGTTATCACAGTCCATGGCATCTTTAATTTGTAAACTGAGATAAACACAGGATAATGGAGTTAGGTTCTGCATGGCATGTGCCCTAGTCAAAGGTCTCTGGGCAGCAAAGAGGAAGATATCCGTGACCGAATGTGGTTTTCAGACTTAAATCACAGAAAAAGAAAAAGCAGAAAGAGTATAAAGAAAAAATATTATGAGTTAAGGAGACACTGACACACATCAGGAAAACACTGACAACAGTTAAATTTCTTTACACGTGACTAAAGAAACAGCACACTCGTCGACAGATCTTTAGATATATGGAAGACAATTAGGAAACACACATTTGATCCTTTGCCTCCCACCAGCCCTACTCCAAACTGGGGTCAGAAACAGTCTTGTGTTTTGTTTCAGTCCCACCTTGAGCTCCTAAATTTCTCTCAAAAATCCTTATTCATTACCAACAGAGTCTGTAGCAAGTCAGAGCCTGCCAAGATAGGAGTCATTTACTCCAATGTCTTAATCCTATCAGAAAAGTAAAATGGTAAATCAAGAATGACAAAAACACAGACCCTGCTGAAAGTAACACCTGAAAACAGATGCATGAAAGCAGTGCCCAGCCTGTCAATTGATTTTGATCCAGACAGGGAAGGAACCCTGGCTCCCCAAAGCCTATTCAGACAAGTATTTTTCATACCTATAGGCCTACACTTCCCAGAACTCTGATTTGAAGGCTGATTTGTTTTGTTACTGATTCTGTAAACTGTTCAAACACCCCTTTACACAATTTGCCAATTTCTGGACTAAAATAAAAACCCTGTGCTTTGCATTTCTTCCTCCATTGCCACATCTGTTTCTACTCACATGAGCCTCTTTTCCTTCTTGAAGCAACAGAACAGCTGCTTTTGGATTTCCCTCATCAGGCATCTTTATATAAAAATTTCTTAGCCATGAAAAATTATTTATATTTCAGGACAACCCCTTGAAGTGGATTTTAAAGCTAGAGGGAAATCTCCTTTACATGGAGATTAATGTAAGTGCTAAAAGCTTATAGAATCCTGTAGCCAAAAGTATCTGTGAGGGTGGGAAGGCATTAAACCAAAGGCAGAAGAAAGACCCACACTAAATGTAATGGTACAAGCCATCAGGTAGAGCCTAACCTCTCTATAATCTTCTTCCCTACTGATGTCAAGAAATCCAACATCTGATTCTCTTGGAATATATGCTGCCTTTGTGACCAATGAGTACATGAAATTCCTTTACGTTCTGTAAGGACTAAAGAACTTGCCTTGCAACGAGATTGTTATTCTCAAAGCCCACACAATAAGTATAAGTGCTAGGGATGATGGTGGCAATGATAATCCAGCTTCCTGATTTCTGGATGGCAACAGGGCTCAATGACAAGCAAGATGATATGAATGGGTGGTGGAAATTGGCTTGGAAGTTGCACAGAAGGCACAGTAGAAAATCATTGTGAAAAGAATAATTCCTTTTGTCTTTTCTATCCCATACTGGATCAGAGGTCCAAGGAGTAGGTGGACAAAAAACGAAACTTGCTAGGGAAAAGCAGGTATTTGAGGATCTACTGAATCTTCCGTTTATGCAGTTGTTTAGGTTCCATTTAAATGGGAAGTATCTAAGCTCAAAGGATGACAGGATGTCCTTTGCTTTCAAACTCACAGCCTTATGATTTCTGTCTCTAAATTCTATCATTGCACTTACAAAGCCTAACTAGTGCAGCTCTTAGGCAGCTCTACTGCATTTTGACTGATAGCGTTTAGGTCCAGAGGAGCTGTCAGCAGATATCCCATACAACCTTTCACAATAGACATCATAGGGAAGATTACAAGCTCTTTGTTAGTGGAGGGAGAAGTTTCACCTTGGGTTCAAATTGCTTTAGTGGAATTCTTCAGAGGTCAGGTAGTTGTATCATAATACCAAATGTCAAGACTGGAATAGCTGGCAGAGCCACTTACTTCTGGGTCCCACTCTCAGCTGGAGACACACGATGCAGTCCGGGCTGGCAGGGCTGCGGCGCTGAACAAAGTCTGCAGTGTTCCCCTCTGAAGCAGGGAAGGCTACGAGCCCTCTGCTGGCACCTATAGGTTTCTGCATCCCAAGAGGCACCAGAAAGCAGGACCGAGTATGCAGCTTATAAATGCCGTTAGTTAGTTAATTACTGCAGATTAGATACACCTTAAACCCTTAAGAATCTTTCCTTTTACCTTTCCAGTGTAAAACCTGGGTACATGGACACTGATGAACAACTCCACTCATTACCGTGCAGCATGCAACCTCTGCAGCACTCAAAATTTTGCAAAAATTACCTTCCTCTACACAAAACACAGTCGCTTGGTTGCACAGTCTAAAATCTCATCTAGAGAAGACTGCAGACCTCGGAACCACCAAAGCTGTGCAGGGGCTAACTTTGAGCACCAAACCTATCCGGTTCAAAGTTTAAGGCCTTTCAAAAGTATAATTCAAGGAAGGGAAATAATGTTTTGCTCCCCTTCAGCATATTTCGTGTGTAGCTCTTGCTCTCTAAGAGCTTCACTGGGGATGCATCACCTGTATCTATTTTACAAGGGCACAAAGAGTTACAGTAATTTGCCTGGGTGATTTGCCTGTGGTCCTACCAGGGGCGTGACTGTTTTTCCAGTCTGACACCTCCAGCCTGGGCTTCCAGGGCTTTCACAATAGCAGCTTGAAATACCACCTCTTTGAAAATCCAATCTCCCTGTTTAAAGCCTAGCTTTAACACAGCAATGGCCTTAATTTAACTCTGTCTAGCTCAGGTGTGATGTTTGTGTGGATAATAGGTCTGAACTGCAAAGAGTACAGCGTGACTGAAGTACTAATATTCACTGCTGCCTTCTTGCAGAAAGAAAAAGGTGCAAAAAGGAGTGTGCAGCATGGAAGAGCATTTGCATGCATGGTATCTCAGAAGTGCCAGTTTTTGGTCAGTGCACACCTCTCCAGACACAGGGCAGTTACGCTACTTCTGCATGACTTTCTGCAAACAGATATCACTTGCTCTACCCCATTCTCTGATTTGGCTGGATGAGAACCGGCTCTAATCCAAAAACTGTGTAACTGTGGTTAGTCTGCTGTGCTTCTTGAGCATCTCAGCCCAGCTATGTTTTCAAAACCCTTGCTTTTGAAAAGCTGTGGAGATACAAACAGTTGTATGGAAAGCTGTGCATAAGCTCACTGGAGGAAACCCACCTCACTCCTCTGCTGTGTACCAGGCACTCACATGGGACATGACGATCAGAGTAAAAGAAGTGAAAATGATCCAGTTAGACTCAAAACTCAGCCACAGTCTAGATTTACATCCCCAGTCCAGATCAGGGTCACAGATTAACCCCAAATACCAAAGCTCGAAGTTTATAAGCCCTTCTTACTCAGCATCCTCCAGCCTCCATCTAAGTGAGTCATATTAGTTCAAA